ATGGACACTGGGAAGAGGTAACTATGGGGAGGAAGTGGGAGGGGAGCTGTTGCATTGTGGTAAACTGTGGTCAATGTCATGAGACAAAGTATATGTGAACAGCTGTATGAAAAGTGTATTTGCTCTGTAAATCTTCACCCAAATCACAATTTAAAAAAAAAAAAAAAAAGTCAAGAATATTTATATAAACAGAAGGCAATGTTCTCTGACGGCTACCACTGATGGGAGAGAGAGGAAAGGGGAATCGCTTGTTAAATAGTTGTTGTTGTTGTTGTTATGTGCCATTGAGTCAGACCCAACTACTAGCGATCGCTCCTTGGGTTTCTGAGGCAGTATCACTACGATGTAGATTGCCTAACCTTCCTTCTGAGCAGTGGCTGGTGGGTTTGAACTGCCAGCCTTCTGGTTAGCAGTCAAGTGCTTTAGGTACTACGCTACCAGAGCTCCCTTGCTAGATAGTAGACGTGTTAATTCTGGTGATGGGAAAGGTAACTGACAACATGGGGGAAGTCAGCACACCTTGACCAAGGTAACTGAAGACACTGGGAGGTAAAGAATAAAGGACAACTACAGTAACTGCTATAACATATAAAATCTTGCAACAAGAGTGAAAACAAGCTATATATGTTGTTGTTGTTGTTGTTATGTGCCGTCGAGTCAGCCCCGACTCACAGTGACCCCTCCTTGGTTTCCCAGGCAGTATCACTACAGAAGTAGATTGCTCAACCTTCCTTCTGAGGAGTGGTTGGTGGGTTTGAACCGCCAGCCTTCTGGTTAGCAGTCAAGTGCCTTAGGCACTACGCTACCAGAGCTCCTAAGCTATATATATACATGTATATACATATACATATATACACATACATACATATATATATATATAAGCTGTTACATAAGTGGCTATGTATATATATATAAGCTGTTACATAAGTGGCTATGTATGATATATGAGTATGTGAAGGTATATAGGAGTACATGCAAATACATGTATAGTTGTATTTGTAAGCATATGTTTGTATGTGCTGCATATATGTTCATATATAAAATGAAGCACATAGGGGACATAACTATATTCAAATACCTCGAGGGACTGACCTACTGGGTTTGAAGACTCTGGACCATAGGATCTAAACAACTAGGTCAGTTGGCATAACTTAGTTCATAAACATTATGTTCCACACTCTAGTTTTGTGTATGGTATGTGTTTATTCCCTGTTATGGACTAAATTGTGTCCCACAGCAATATGTGTTATAAATCTTAACCCTTATACCTGTGGTTGAGGAGTCCAGGTGACACAGTGGTTAAATACTTGGCTGCTAACAGGTCAGTGGTTTGAACCTATGAGTTGTTTCACAGGAGAAAGATGTGGAAATCTGCTTCCATAAGACTGCAGCCTTGGCAACCTTACAGGGCAGTCCTATAAGGTTGCTGTAAGTTGAAATCAAGTTGACAGCAACGGGTTTGGTTTGATTTTATACCTGTTGTTATAATCCCATTTGGGAATAGGTTGTCTCTATGTTATGTTAATGTGGCAGTATTAGTATAGTATTAGTATAGGGTGTGTCTTAAATCAATCTCTTTTTAGATATAAAATCAGATAAAGCAAGCAGAGATGGGGGAAGATAGATGCCATGCCACATGAAAATCACCAAACACCTGAGGAATAGAAGTTAAAAGAGGCCAAAGATCTTCTCCATAGTGGACACACACACAGAGATAGCCTTTCCCTAGAGCTCAGACTTCTACCCTCCTAGCATGTGAAAAAAATACATTACCTTTTGTTAAAGCCATAAAGAAAAAAGAATGAGTGAATGAAGTGTGGTAAGTTTACCTCATTTCTGTACTGTTACAGAAAGGTGTTTTCAATCTATTTTTTTTAATGACCTTCAGACTTTTTCAGAATCTGAAGTCTTCAGAGTCTTTTGAAGGTTCTAATGTGGTTCTCCAGGGAGCTCTGGTAGCATAGTGCCTAAGGCACTTGACTGCTAACCAGACGGCTGGAGATTCAAACCCACCAGCCACTCCT